TCTCTCTGCTCCTGGTCTTGCTTTGACTGTAGTCTTCCCCTGCTTGTGTTGGCCACACGTCACACTTCAGATTGTTTATGGTGGAGCTTCTGTTGATCAGACGTGTCCTGAAAGTTGTGGTTTGCCTGCTCGGTGATTAAAATTTCTCTCTCCCAGAGTGTGAATTGATCTGGTGTATTTCGATTATATCAAAAGAACAAAGCGCCTAATTTGTGAAACCGTTTGTCCTCTTCTTTGGTTTCAACCAATATTGGGTCCAGGGATTCCCCAATTTATCCTCACTAAATGATGCAAACTGGCTGAATAGCTCAGTGGTTTAGGTCTCTGGCTGCAGAGCCAGAAATGGAGTTCAATTCTCCACTGTGCCTCCCGAACCATGGAAAGGGTTGCTGTAAGTCAGAATTGATTTGATGGCACACAATTTCTTCATCAGTTCAAGCAAACATGGGGAAGGTATCCATCTTTTAAAAATACGGACTCCTGGTCTATTCGTATTTTCATGTCATGAAATCAATGGAGAAAATCAGTCCACCCTAAGTCTGTGTAGTCACAGGTAGAGGTCAGAGAAATATAGTGAAAACACTAGGAAATATTAGAGGATGAAGGCAGGGCCAAGGTAAGCCTGTGCAAAGCGGAGATAGCAGTGGAAACTGGTCCAGTCAGAATTGGTCTCTTTCTCTCTCTGAAGGGAGCCCTAGCACTGTCTGATTGGCTGATAATTTCTGCCTGTGGAAGTTAGTAGAAAAGACAACCCATCTCTTGAGAAAAGTGGCAGGATTTGTTCTCAACCAAGGTTGTGAGTTCAATTTCCCCCACTCTGCCTCCTTGATAGGGGCTGGACTTGACCATCCATGGGGGCCCTTCCAGCTCTGCTATTCTAAGACAATGATTCCGAAGTGCAGGACACTAAATAATGGGCTAAAGTTACAGGAAGCCAAATTTTGGCGCTGAATATCAGGGAAACTTTATAATTGTTAAGAAGAACATGACAGTAGGGAGGTGGTGAGTGCTCCAACACCAGAAACATTCAAGAGAAATGTCTGATTAACTTGGATTTCTGCATTGAGCAAGGGGTTGGACCTGATGGCCTTACAGCCCCCTTCCATCTCTATTATGCTATGATGATGATTACAGTGGGACCTCGACTTACAAACACCCCTATCTACGAACATTTTGACTTACAAATGGCTCCATTCTCAAAAATTGGCATTGACTTGCGAATGCTTCGACCTACGAATGAAAAAAGGCAGGGGAAAAGGGCAGGAAATTCGAATTTCCAGCCCTTTCCCCCTTGCCTTTTTGCATTTTTTCTTCCCTCAGAACGCATTGATCGATTTTCAGTGCATTCCTATGGGAAATGGTGCTAAGACTTAAGAACGCAGTCCCAATACGGATTAAGTTCTTAAATCGAGGTACCACTGTTGTTTATTTTTTAAAAATAATATTTTTATATACCTACGCCCTATATTCTTGGTAACAGCCCAACAGTAACTAGAATGGGGGGAGGGAATCACTAATTCTAACAAAACTATTAAATCTTCCAAGATGGATAAAAAAATGCTCAGTTTGCAGAAAAAAATACTACATCTTCTCACCTTTGTGGATTTCTTGATATAAAGTCAAGTGTGTTTTCTGCCTAAAGGCCCCCTCTGTTTCCATAGAGTCTTTGCTGGGAAGAAACGAGTACAGCTTGAATTCTTTTTCAGAATTCCCACCTCTAAATGGTTTCCCCCCCACATGAACTTTCATATGGCGAGCAAGATTTCTGCTCTGTGTGAAGCTTTTCCCACACTCTAAGCATTCAAAAGGTTTTTCCCCAGTATGGATTCTCTTATGGGAAACGAGGGCTCCGTTCTGACTGAAACACTTTCCACATTCTAAGCACTCAAATGGTTTCTCTCCCGTGTGGGTTCTCATGTGGGAAGCAAGGACTGTGCTATGGCTGAAGCTTTTCCCACATCGTGAGCATTCAAAAGGTTTCTCCCCAGTGTGGGATCTCATATGAGAGACTAGGCCTGTGTTCTGGCTGAAACATTTCCCACATTCCACACATTTAAACGGTTTTTCTCCTGTATGGGTTCTCATGTGGGAAGAAAGGACGGTCCTATGGCTGAAACTTTTCCCACATTGTGAGCATTCAAAAGGTTTCTCCCCGGTGTGGGATCTCATATGAGAGACTAGGCCTGTGTTCTGGCTGAAACATTTCCCACATTCCACACATTTAAACGGTTTTTCTCCTGTATGGGTTCTCATGTGGGAAGAAAGGACGGTCCTATGGCTGAAACTTTTCCCACATTGTAAGCATTCAAAAGGTTTTTCCCCGGTGTGGGTTCTCTTATGGGAAACGAGGGCTCCGTTCTGACTGAAACACTTTCCACATTCTAAGCACTCAAATGGTTTCTCTCCTGTGTGGGTTCTCATATGGCAATCAAGTTTTCCTATCTGCCTGAAACTTTTTCCGCATTCCAAGCACTGAAATGGTTTCTCCCCTGTGTGGATTCTCATATGGGAAGCCAGGTTTGTGCTCCAGTTGAAGGTCTTTCCACACTGCAAGCATTTAAAGGGTTTCTCTCCTGTGTGGATTTTTTCGTGACAGCTAAGTCTAATTCTCTCATTGTAGCACTTCCCACATTCTAAGCATTTGAATGGTTTCTCCCCCGTATGGATTCTCATATGGGAAGCAAGGTGTGTGCTCTGGCTGAAGGTCTTCCCACAGTCTGAGCATTTAAACGGCTTCTCCCCTGTATGGATTCTCACGTGGGAAGCAAGCCGTGTGCTGTGACGGAAACTCTTTCCGCATTCCTGACATGTGAATGGCTTCTCCCCTGTGTGGGTTCTCATATGGGAAGCTAGGTTTGCATTTTCACTGAAGTGCTTCCCACATTCCAAGCATTTAAAGGGTTTCTCTCCTGTGTGAGTTTTCATATGCGAAGCAAGGTTTGCACTGTATCTGAAGTCCTTTCCACATTCTGAACATTTAAAGGGCTTCTCTCCTGTGTGGATTCTCATATGGGAATCAAGATTTGTTCCCTGACTGAAGCTCTTTCCACATTCTGGGCATTTAAATGGTCTCTCCCCAGTGTGAGTTTTCATATGGGAAGCAAGGTTTGAGCCCTGACTGAAGCTTTTCCCACATTTCACACATTCATATGGTTTCTCTCCTGTGTGGATTCTCATATGGAGAGCAAGGTAGCATTGACTGAAGCTCTTTCCACATTCCAAGCACCGAAAGGGTTTCTCTCCCGTGTGGATTCTCTTATGCGTAGCAAGGTCTGAAGCCCAAACGAAGCACTTCTCACATTCAGCACATTTAAATGGTTTCTCCACATTGTTGAGTCTCATGTCGTAATTAAGGATTGTGCTGTGAATGAAGTTCTCTCTGCATTCCAAAGATTTATCTATTGTCTGGAATGGTTGACGGTAACAAAGGTTGTTTGTCCCGCTGAAGCTCTTACGATATTCTAAACACGGTGACTGCTTTTTATCAATGCCTGCTCCCAAGGGTATGCTATCTTCTTTTTCTTCATTTGTCTTCTCTCTCATGTGAGTTGCTGAAATGAGAAAAACGATTGAACTGGAGGCAAAATGTCAAATGGAAGTCTTAAGTTGGGGAGCAAAAGGAACTAAATTTAACACAACACACAACATGCACAACTCCTTTGGCTCCACAATCCACCACACCCTTTTGGAAGAGAGTTCGCAGGCACAACAGCCTAGAAGGGGACAAAACTGTTATGCATGTGGCATATATTAGTTGTTCGCAGTTGTAAAATATCAACAAAAGGGGGGGGGGACCCAACACTTACCCAGAGAGATCAGACTGGCTAAATTCTCTTCTGTGACTTCTGTGTGCAGGGACCTTTGGCCAGGATCCAGCAGTGCCCATTCCTCCTCCGTGAAAGACACGGAAATATCCTCAAAGGTCATCATTACACCCTGGATGAAAAAAGGAATCATTTTAGCTGCATGCAGAATGCAGTCGTTCTATCGCTATTCACTTACGGAAGAAAATGGAGCAATCCACGTGAAACACACTTAAATTTGGGATTCAACTAATCCCAGATAATATTCTCAGCTTTCTTAATGGAATGTTTGACAAAAAAAATAACCAAACATGAGAGATACCTTCAAGTTGAGGGCGATGTCCAAAGGAGAGAAGTACCCAGCACCTCTCCACGGCTTGGCACCAATTAAATCGGGTTGCAGAGAATCTGTTTCTGGCCCTCCAGAAAAAAGGGTTGAGGAAGGCTCTGTTCCAAAGATCATGCCAAAGCCTGTAAGAAGAATGGAGCTGTTTTATTTTTTTATACACCTTTTATATTGCAGAGAGGAAACACCTCTCTTCCTAACCAATATTACTATTATTCACATGGTGTGTGTGTGAGAGAGCAGACAGTTGGGAAAGGAGAAATGTTTACCAGTTGAAGTAGGAGCTGCTGGATAGCTCAGTGGTTTAGGTCTCTGGCTGAGGAGCCAAAGGTTGGGAGTTCGATTCCCCTCTGGGCCTCCTTGACAGGGGTTGGACTCAATGATCCATACAGTCCCTTCCAGCTCTGCAGTTCTATGATGATTCTGATTCTAGAAACAGTCCCACCAGTTCCTCATTCGGTAAGGTGCCTGCTCTGCTGTTTTCTGGTGCATCCTCCAGGAATTGGGGCCTTTGTGCAGCCATGCTTCTGCTGTCCCATGAGGAAGCCAGGGACCAATTTTGGATTTTTAAAAAAAATCCCTGCATGGAAAACAAAGCTTGAGCCTTGAGGACAGAAACAGGAAAGTGAATTGCTAAACCCAAAGTGCACCAATGGGCATCCGACATGGAGAGAAGCACACAGGCTTTGTTCTGTCTATTTTAGGAAAGCCACCCGTGCATTCCCAGCCCTTTGGAAAGGGCAGGACAAAAAGCTCTCAGTAACATTGGGCCTCTCCCAGCCTAAGGAGAACCCAGTCCTTATTTTAATCCTGGGAGTGGGGCTTCTCCTCCTTTTCCGAGTCAGCCCTTTCATCTTCCAGATCTCCTGACCCCTCTGTATTGTTCCCTTTTGGATAGTCCGGTCCATGCTCTAGGCTCTGGGTGCAGCAAAGACAACAGTCCACCAAAAGGAGTGTCCTCTTTACTGTCCTCTGCCAAGGTTGCAAATACAGGGGTCGCCCCCCAGATGATGTCCAAGGTGGCTCCTTTGCTTCAGATCTCCCCTCTGTGGGGAAGAAACTGGGATGGAGGAGTTGTTTCTTGGCTACTCAGTTCTCAAACCTTCCTCCCCCCCCCACTTCTATTCGGCTTGGTGGATTCTGGGATTTGTAATTCTCAAGAGGGAACGTTTCTATAGCTCTGGCCACTTCTCAGGGCTTCCAACTGTCTGCCCCTTTTTTTTTCAGATGACAGCTTCCATTTTGCACTTCAGCTCCCAGTTGGTGGTCCCAAAAATCTGGAAAAGTAACTTTTCCCGGGACTCCTCCCTGCCTGCAAGTGACCTATTGCCCCACACCGACCCACACAAGACATGCAAACAGGTGGAAGCCCTTCCTGGTCCCATAAGCGGGAGGGGGGGCGCTCTGCTTGGCAGGAAGGAGTCAGGAAGGCAGAAGAGGAAAGGGACAGGAAGTGGGAACCCCACATCCTGTCCCCTGCTTCCTGGATGCCTCTCTAGGACTCAGCACTCAGTCCCTTTAACCCTTAACACCAGCCCTGAAATCCAAGCCAGAGGCTGGAGTACGGAAAGAGAAAACATGGCTGTGGCTTAAATAGAAAATCATGTGTTTTAAATCTTCTGATTTCAGCTGAAATCTTTAATTCTGTAAAGAGTTTAATTCTACAGTATTTCGATCTATGTCACGTTGTGCTTCCACACTCACCCACAAACACATGCATATGGATATATACATATACAAACTCTATATTACTCTCATTTTATTTATATATATATATATGAGAGAGAGAGAGAAAACACACCCTGAAAATAAGCTCTAATGTGTTTTTGGAGCAAAAACTAATATAAGACCCTATCTTATTTTTTGGGAAACACAGTACATATACAACACGACAGAGATCAAAACAGATTTAAACTCCTTGTAGTATTAAAGATTTCATCTCAAATCAAAAAAGCAAAACATCAAATGCATAAAAATAATAACAAAGTGCCATTTTATTGTGTATTTTCAGCATGAAAAAGAGAAGGCAAGGACGTGAAGATTTTTAAATGTGTCTTTTTGTGGGTGACAGTCCATGTCTTAACTCACTTGGAAAGTTCATACTTTTTAGTACTTCTTTCTTTCTTAAATTTATTGACAAGCCCAGTAGTGCAGTGCACTATTCTGGGTGGCTTACAGCAGTCACAAATAAAACCAAAACAAATACTATTAGACTACAAAGACAGAACTAGAAAACGAAAAACTGTTAACAAATAAAAGGCGTGCATCAGTGGCAAGATCACAACGGAAGAGCAAGGCGCGAAGGACTGGAGGTGTAAAATCAAGCAGGGACGGGGTGGAAAGCCTCCCTGAAAACCAATGTTAACAGGGAGGGGACCAGGGGTAGCTCCACTGAGAGGTGGGATCCATAAGGTTGGTGCCACTACCAAGAAGGCCATGTCTATGGGCCTCCTTTGGAATGGTGACCCAGGGGAGCATGGACTGGGAGGATCTGGTGACATTGAGGAGAGATGGTCTGATGGAGAGTGTGGTCCCTGCAACGTTTGCCCCTTTGTAGCCCCTGTTTCTCTTACAAACACAGAGCACACGCAGGCAAACCAAACAAAAATACCTTTTTACACCCTTGCTAAATCAAGGTACTTTGCTTAGGAAAGACAAAGGCCCATTCAGTCCTCACTTTTTCTTAAAACAGGTTTATTGATCACAGGTGTTTCATTAATGATTCATAAGCATTTTCTTCCGTTTCATTAATAATTCATAAGCATTTTCTTCCAGTTCATCAATCATCTATATCAATCTTACCCGCCTCAGACTAGCTACTACTACTCAGATCTCCCACTTCTCTCTCTCTCTCTCTCTATTTCTCTCTCAGACTGAACTCTTCTCCCCAAAACTCCCAGGCTAAGCATTTTTTAAACATCTCTGGTGGCCCCACCTCTCAACCATATCAACATAGACTATGAATAATGCATAACCTATTTAGCATAATGAGGGTGAACGCCACAGTCCCGAAACCGCAAAGGGCTTTGGTACGTGAACATCAAAGGCTTGAACCTGATCCAGGACACAAAGGAGAACCAGTGAAGAGCAGCCAGGACTGGAGTGATGGGATCCAATTGGCTCACACCACATCTTCCAGACACCACGGGACTGTGGTTTTTGGGAGTTACCGAAGCAACTTGCCGGACATTAATTTTACAATTCTTAAAATAATCTGTTTGAAAAAGTCTCCACCCGTTACAACGACAGGGGAAGGGTTAGGGGGTGACGTTCCATTCAATGAATATTTTTTAAGAGGGTCCATGAAAACTGATTCCGGACAAAACCTATCAGATGGACCAGGACCTCTTGTCCTAATAGTAAAAGACTCTCTTCTTCTCACCCAACCCAATTTTTTAATCTCATTTTATAACATGGTAACAATACTGGGGGAGCAACAGAGGCTTAAATTTTTGTAACCTAAGCACCCACCCTGAGGGGATATTCTCTTGCTTTTCTGCTACAGATGAGAAATAGTTTGGGTGCGTCTCTCACTACAAGGGGGCGACTTCCAGCACTACAGTAGCCCTCCATTTTGTATTTATAGGGTTGCTACCTTTTTTTCTGTAAAGAAGAAAATGCCGAGAAGGTGGATCACAACTCTTGACTACACTGCAGGGTTGTCAGTTCACCAAATAACGGGGAAGAATACCAGCCTACCATACCTATACCTGCCCTGCGCTAGACTTGATGGTAGTATGTTACATCTAGCGAGGGTGAATGCCCAGCGGTCTTGTGGCTGTTCTAGAAGATGAAGGTAGCTAGGTCTGCATCCGAGGGTGAGAGGTAGCTGAAAGTGCAGCGGAGAGCAGACTTTCAGGGCCGCGCTAAACAGCGTTTGCCCTTCTATGTCCAAGACCCTGTTTTTGATGGTTTGGAAGACCCTAGAGGGGGGTATTGAACCCATTGAGTCTGGTGACAGCCCTAGGGTCTTGATTGCCTTTAGGAAAAGGGCCAGGCCTTTGGGACAAAACCTATCAGATGGACCAGGACCTCTTGTCCTAATAGTAAAAGACTCTCTTCTTCTCACCCAACCCAATTTTTTAATCTCATTTTATAACATGGTAACAATACTGGGGGAGCAACAGAGGCTTAGATTTTTGTAACCTAAGCACCCACCCTGAGTGGATATTCTCTTGCTTTTCCGCTACAGATGGGAAATAGTTTGGGTGCGTCTCCCACTACAAGGGGGCGACTTCCAGCACTACAGTAGCCCTCCATTTTGTATTCATAGGGTTGCTACCTTTTTTTCTGTAAAGAAGAAAATGCCGAGAAGGTGGATCACAACTCTTGACTACACTGCAGGGTTGTCAGTTCACCAAATAACGGGGAAGAATACCAGCCTACCATGCCTAGGTGGTCTGTTACCACTCTTTGCAATCTGAAATATGGGGAGGGTTAGTATGTCACCAGTCATATTGGTGGCACTTGATTTGTTTTGTCAAAATTATCCATGTTTTTATGCCATAAGAAAGCCTAATAAAAGGTAGACTGAAGTTCTGGAATTGCTTTCTTTCGAATGGGCAGCCCTCAATTCAAAGTTGGGAAGGGAAAAAGATGGTATGAACAGACCCTAATAAGTTCCTTTTGAGGTCAAAAGACGTGTCTGTCTCTCCTCTTTTTGAATCTGAATGGGGAAAAAATAATTCAGAAGTGTGTCACCCATTAAAGCTGGACTGTAAAGAAAGCTGAAAGGAAAAAAAATTGATCTGTTTGGATTGTGGTGCTAGAAGAGAAACTCTGTGGAAACCCTGGATTGTGAGAAAGACAGATAATTGAATCCTAGAGGAAATCAAGCCCAAACTATCTCTGAAGGTTGTCCTACTTTGGGCACATCATGAGAAGACAGAATTCTCTGGAAAATACCCTCATGCTGAGAAAGGGAGGAGGGAGCAGGAAAAGAGGAAGACCAAATACAAAATGGATTGACTTCCTAAAGGAAGCCACAGGCTTGAGTTTGCAAGAGATGAGCAGGGTTGTTGAGGACTGGACATCTTGGAGATTGCTCATTCATAGGGTTTATTTATTTTACTAGAGTTATACCCCGCCCATCTAGACAAATAGCCTACTCTGAGCGGCATTACAAAAATTTAAAAACAATAGAACCAATGAGCATGCAAAAATCCAAGATGTAAAAATGTAAATATTAAAATACAGCAGGAGGGAAAGCCTGCCTAAATAAGCCATGTCTTAAGTTTATTTCTGAAGACACCCAGAGAGGGAGCCAGGCGAATCTCTACGGGCAAGTTGTTCCAAAGGTGAGGGGCCACTGCCGAGAAGGCCCGGTTCCTCGTTCTTTCTTTCTGGGCCTCCCTCAGCGTTAGGCCTCTCAACTGCCTGACTTGGCTAGAACGGGTGTCTCTGGCAGAACTGGGTGGGAGAAGGCGCTCTGCCAGATATCGAGTTGCCATAAGTCAGAGGCGACTTGATGGTACATAACAACAAAAAAGTATTGATAGAGATACTCTGGACCATCAAAAAGACAAACAAGTGGGTCCAAAATCAAATCAAGGCTAAGCTCTCTCGAGAAGCAAGCATGAATAAATTCAGGCCAACATACTTTGGGTACTTCATGAGAAGACAAGACCTACAGGGAAAAACAGGAACATTGGAGAAAGTTGAAGGGAAGGAGGAAAAGAAGAAGATCAAATAGGAGAGGGCTTGACTCACTAAAGGAAGGAGTGGCTTGGTAAAACCTGGGCAGAGCTGTTAAGCAGAAGATCAAATACAATCATTACTCCCATAAAAGTAAGGTCACAAAGGATTCAGCATTTAATTATTTTCTGAATATAATTTGAAAATCTGACCAACAGTCAGCAACCCATTTACAGTGGTGCCCCACATAGCGACGATAATCTGTTCCAGAAAAATCGTCACTATGTGGAATCGTCGCTATACAGAACCAAAAAGCCCATAGGAATGCATTAAAACCTGTTTAATGTATTCCTATGGGCTTAAAACTCACCATTATGCAAAAATCCTCCATATGGCCGCCATTTTCGCTGCCCGGTAAGCGAGGAATGGGCGCATAAACACAGTGGGCGGCCATTTTTTTTACCTGGTGACCATTTTGATACCGCCGATCAGCTGTTTTAAAAACATCACTATGCGAAAATCGGTAAGCGAAACAGCTTACCGATCATTGCAAAGCAATGTTTTACCATTTAAAACATCACATTGCGATCGCAAAAAACTCAATCGCTATGCAGATTCGTCATTAAACGGGGTGCCCGTTATGCAGGGCACCACTGTATTGCAAATACGTGTTTCACGCAAATGAACAGAGGACTGCATAAAGAATCATAGAGCCAAAGTGTATTTTTAAAAATGTTTTTGACTCATGTAAAGCCCGTAGAAATAACAGACCTGCGTTCCTAAATTCATTTAATGATGAACCAGGAGAACTGTAGGTGGAAATCAGGGGAAAATGGTGGTGGGGGGGAATACAATGTGTGTAAGTAAAAGGCTGGATATGAAGGATGGTCAATGAAAATGGTTGATGGGGGGGAAATTTGTTTCCTCTGACATGCGGTGCTGGAGGAGAGCTTTTCAATTACCCTGGACAGCCAGAAAGATAAACAAGTGGGTCCTAGATCAAATCAAGCCTGGACTTTCTCAAGAAACAAAATGACTAATGGTAGGAGTTATATTTTGGCCACACTGAATGGATAGCATTCATGGGAAAAGATAAAATGCTGGGGAAAGTTGAAGGCAACAGGAAAAGAGGAAGATGCAAGGAAAAGACTCAAGAAAGTCCCAGTGCTGAATCTGCAAGAAGTGAACACATAATAATTATTATAATCATCATCATCTTAGAACTGAAGAGCTGTAAGGGAGTCCTGCCTTTTATTGCAAATACAGTGGTGCCCAGCTTAACAATGACCCCGCTCGACGACAAAATTTCATGACAATGTTTTTGCAATCACAATTGTGATTGCAAAATGATGTTTTAATGGGAAAAATCCACCTTGCGACAATCGGTTCCCTGCTTCGGGAACCGATTCTTTGCATTACAATGATCAAAACAGCTGATCGTCAGGTTTTCAAAACGGCCGCCGGCTGCTCAAAATGGCTCCCCACTGTTTTTAGGAGGCATTTTTCGCTGCACAGGCATCGGAAAATGGCTGCCCTATGGATGATCTCCGCTGACGAGCACGTATTTCGTCCATGGGAACGCACTGAATAGTTTTCAATGCGTTTCAGTGGGCTTTTTTATTTCGCTTGATGAGGATTTCGCTCTACAGCGATTTTGCTGGAATATATTATCGTCGTCAAGCGAGGCACCACTGTACATTGAGTCCAGCCCCTCTCAAGGAGCCATAGTGAGGAATCGAACTTCCAACCTCTACGGCCAGAGACCAAATTCTATCCCACAATTCTGACAGTCACTTTTGCAAGATCGCTACTTCATAGGGTCACCATAGGTTGGAAGAGCCTCATGACACAACAGTTAAACCACAGAACTGCACTGTACGATCTGCTCACAATCCCAGGTTCAATCCCAGGTAGTTGGCTCAAGGTTCACTCAGCCTTCCATCCTTCTGAGCTCAGTAAATGGAGTACCCAGCTCACTGGGGGCAATGGCAGTGTGTTACTTCAGTGCGACAGTTCACAGTCACAACCTGCCTCTTTAGCCAAATGTTCAAGATGGACGGTAATTCATGAAAGCAGGCAGTGAGATCAATAGGGTCATTTTATTCTTGCTGGGGAGGGGATGTAAAATGGTGGCCACTGTGAAAACAACCACAACGGAGCGTAAAAGAAAGCTTACCCAGAGTCACCACACTAGTGCTATTTTCTTCCATGACTTCCGGGTGGGGAGCCCGTTGGCCTGGATCCAGCAGCACCCACTCTTCCTCGGAGAAATGCACACCAACGTCCTCGATAGCTACGGGACCCTGAATTTTAAAAAGGAAACTTTGAAAGCCATTTTTCTAGTTTTTAAACATTTAGTCCAGATGAGAATGGCATCCACAAGGTAAATGGAGGTTACAATATAGGATCTCACCCTTTCCTTGTCGTAGTCTCAGCCCTCCTAGCAAGAAGTCTTGATTAAAGCAAAAAAGAAGGGCTCAAAGGTAAGAAGCGCTCAGGCACCTTCAGTCCCCATTCATTTCTCCCCTCAATCTGTAGGGGGAGGATTTCTATAACATGTCATGTTTTTTTCTGCAGCCTACACTTGAACGTATAAGTGGGTTTGGACATGTTTATGAATAATCTGTCGAGAAAGGGCAGAGTATAGGTTGCAGAGAAAGTATGACAAGTATAGATTGCAGATAAAGTATGACAAATATAGGTTGCAGAGAAAGTATGACATGTCATAGAAATGCTTATCTCCCCCTGCTTACCTGATGTCATAGAAATGCTTATCTCCCCCTGCTTATCTTCACACACAAAAAGATGAACAAGGATGGGTTCCTAGCCTAATTCCAGGGTCTGCCAAGGAAATCACAGGGGAGGAAAAATGTTTTTTGCTTGTCCATTATTTCTGAGGTAAAAAAAGGGAGTCTCTCTGCTTTGGTTAACTGAGGTTTAAACATCTCCAGGGAGACAGGTTCCATCCCATTAATCAAAATGGAGAAGACATTTCAGAGGGAGACCCCCAACCAGCTCCTTACCCGGCGAAGCAGCTCTTCCTCTCTTTTCCTATGTCTTCTGCAGGAGGAGCCTCTCCCCAATATGAGAGATGCTGAGGACTTCTGCACCGCAAACAAAATCCGGGCACCTGTTGTAGGAATGGAGAAAACAAGATGAAGAACACGGAAAAGTAGAGGAAAGGATGCCCGATTCAGGAAGAAAGGAACAGGGGCTTCGGTTAAATGATTTCCACAAAAGGAGTGGGCCTTTTCTTGGTCCTTCAGGGAGACCAGAACGCTCACCCGCTGCTCTTTCCTCCTGCTTCTTCTCTGCCCATCTGGTTCAGGCTTCCACCAGCGACTCCACCTGGGAAGCGGATTCTGGTCTACCTTCGCTAACCCAGATCCCCATCTCTGGTGGAAGCAGAATCAGCAACTGTTCAAGGATGATCAGGTCCAGTGTCTCAGAAGAACAGGGCGTGTTCTTCTGGCTTCAGCCATGGATGACCAAGATGGCAGAGTTGCCTACAGACCCTCGGGGCCAGGACCCTCCAAAGGGGGAGCCTGCCGGGCCATTTGGCCCAAGGCTTCCCCTCAGCCCTGGGTGCAAGGTCCCCGCTTTGAACCCTTTTGGCTAGGTTACATTTTTGCCTTTTGAATTCTGTATGGCATTTATTTATATCCACTATACAGTGGACCCTTGACTTACAGACGGCTTGACTTACAGACTTTTGAGTTACAGACTTCTCTGGCTGCAAAATTTAGGTTTGACTTGCAGATTGAGATTTGACTTACAGACCAGAAAAAAACCAAAATGGAACAAAAACGGCCTGTTACGGGATTAATCGGTTTTCAATGCACTGTAGGTCAATGGAGACTTGACTTACAGACTTTTTGACTTGAGAACCGCCTTCCAATATGGATTAAGTTCTCTAGTCAAGACCCCACTGTAATATACAAACCAGTTGAGATAAATAAATGTCCACCGTCACACGTTCTACAATTTTTTAAAAATGTATGCCATTCTTTCTAATGATTTTTTAAAAAACCCTTCTTCCTAAACAACGAGGGAGACCATCTCACTACGTAAAAAGGCTTCAGCCTTCGGGCACCGAACATCTGAGCAGAGAGAGAGAGGCTCCCTCTGGGTCGGTTTGTGCGGTTCCTTCCTGGAAGCCCTCATTGCTCCGAACCTCCATGTTGTGGCACGGTTTCCCAGTTTCCGGACCAACACAGTTTTGCGCTTTACACTGCCCCCCCCCACAACAACACCCGAAGAAATGGAAGTGAATGGGCTTCTTTGATCTCCATAGGGGAAAAAAAAGCAGAGTAATAGAAATATCGAGAGGAAGTTCAAGACGTGGGAACGCTCGGTCATGTTTAAGGTTTAAGGATGCTCCTGCCTGACAGTCACAGGAAAAAAAATCTCCCTGGACCTGCATTGTCACACAACTTCCTTGATTTACACAAATCCTAATTATAAGGGGATCAATCCAACTGTCTACACCCTGCAGCCTCTCCTTTACACTTCTCGTAGGAAAATGGCTCTTCTGCTTTCTCGAAAGAGAAGCCACTTGCTTTAAGGTCCTCCTCAGAAACACTGAATGCGCGCCCGACAGGGTGGGGAGAGATCCGTTGTTTCCATTTATCCCATTCCCAGTTAGCAGCCTTATCTCCTCACCAGTGTGGAGTCCGGTCACCGGGAAACTGGTTTCCAACCCTCCAAGATTGAAGCAATCAGACAAAGACGGAGATTCGGAATGGGGGAACTAGAAAAGATTATTGAGTGTGAAGATGTGTTACCAGAGACCAGGACCAAGATCACACTTTTTTATTTCCGATCACAATGCAAGTGTGAAAGCTAAGCTGGGTCATTAAGGAAGCAGGAAGGGGAAGAATCAATTCATGGGAAAGGACGGTTTTCCAGCTAGCTTGGACTGCTAGAACAAGTGGGTCCTAGATTAAATTATCTCTGGAGGCAAAAAAAATCCCAAAGCTGAGGCTGTCTTACGTTGGGCACATCGCGAAAAGGCAAGATTCTCCGGAAAAGACAATAACGCTGGTAAAAGTAGAAGGTGACAGGAAATGAGGAAGACCCAATACGAGATGGATTGACTCCTTAGAGCAGTGGTCCCCAACTTTGGGCCTCCAGATGTTCTTGGACTACAACTCCCAGCAGCCTTCACCACCACCACCTCTGCTGGCCAGGATTTCTGGGAGCTGAAGTCCAAGAACATCTGGAGGCCCCAAGGTTGGGGGGGGACCACTGCCCTAGAGCAGTGGTTCTTAACCTTTGTTACTCAGATGCTTTTGGACTGCAACTCCCAGAAGCCTTCACCATCAGCTGTGCTGGCTGGGGGTTCTGGGAGTTGCAGTTCAAAAACACCTGAGTAACAAAGGGTAAGAACCACTGCCCTAGAGGAAGGAAGCCACAGGCTTGAGTTTGCAAGAGCTGAGCAGGGGCAGGATGTTTTGGAGGTTGCTCATTTCGGAGTCGCCATTAAGTCAAGGGCGACTTGATGGCACAATAGCCACCCCCCAGGTCAATATGGGGGGGGGAGAGGATCAGTGGGGAGGATTTAGCTTTGCAGACTGGAAAGGAGAGGAGGAGAAGATGGGTTGGGGGGGAGGAAATGACAATCCCCAGAGGGGGGGTCACCTGCCCCGATCTGGGAGAGAGGGAGGGGAGGAAGGGTCTTTCAGTGACTCCCCCCCCAAGCCGAGCACCCCTTTCTCCTATCTCTGGTCCCCCCCCAAAACCCTCTGCCCCTCTCCCCGCTCCAAAGCC